CGACGATTTGCTCCTGGCCACAGGTTTACCAGTGAACCGGTGATGGCATCTTGGAGCAAACCAAGATTTGCATCACGGGATGCACTGAAGAAAATCTGTGATAATTTCTGTGATAGAGTAGTAAGCTTGTATTTTGTGATTTATTTATTTGAAATGTTTTTTTGTTAGGATGTTGGGTCCTGGATTTCTAATTTTATGTCGGTTGAAAACTTAATTGCGTAATCGTGACCCGTTGCACGGTTGGCTCGATGTAAAATAGAAAAAGAGGGCGGGAAAGAAAAGCCAACAGGAGCCAAACCGAGCCGATGTCCTTAACTGGCGGCTATCACCACAGGTGATAGCTAGTCCAGTTGACGAACGGCTAGGCGGTGACGGAAAATAGGAGTTTTGGAGAAAGCGCAAGACGAGTTAGGTCGGAAGCCCACCGGCGACGGTCACTTCCATCTGCCCAGGTCCAGCTGTAAGGAAAAGAAAAGAAAATAGGAAGGGAGGAAGATTTGTTCATTGTTATTGATTTTTGCTATTAGTTATTTTCGTATTTATTTTGATATTTATTATATTATTTATTTTTGTATTTATTTGTTGTCTTATTTATTTATTTATTTATCATATTTATTATATATTAGTAGTCATTAAGTATTTATTTAAAAATTCTTGGGAAGTATGTCCGAGGGTAAGGACGTCAGCGATAGGCACGGCCACCAGCTCAGGTCGATGGGTCCCCCTGGCGACGACAAGGACGATGTCTGGTCCACGGATGTAGAGGGTGCTGCTGGGTTGCCGCGGATATCGCTGTCTGGGGGTTTACCCAGAACGCCGGTAGCCGGTAGTGCGGTGGATCGGATTAGGGATCAACCGGCGGATCTGGAGCACCATCGGTCGCCCAGGGTCCTGGATTTCAAGGCAATTGTCGAGGCGCAGGATCGACTTCTGGTTCCGGAGCAGACGGGACTACAAAAGCTGAACACGGAACACGGATACAGCGGCGGAGTCTGCGATGAACGCAGCTCTGGCACAAGCGCCCATACATATCGGGCATCGCAAGAGTTGGGAGTGAGCCAGGCCTTGCGGGAGAAAATCAAGAACGGATTCATGGACATGATGAAATTGAAGAACGATGTTCTTAGGACAGCCGAAAGCAAACCGCAGCCGCTCCAGGAGGGCGCGATTCGCCAAGTGTCAATGGTGCCCACTCCGTCGTGCCCGGAAGGCGGCGCAAATGGTCCAGCGGAAGTTCAGCAGCGGCAGGAGACAGGAGGAGGCTACCGAAGGCCGCCGGAATTGAAACCCAGGCAGCGACCTCGACCGCAGGTGAACGACTCTCCAGGGATCGACAGCAGCCTGAGCCAGGAACCGGAGTATCATCCGGCAGGAAGGAGTGATCGCCACGCACGGCCGTGGCGCATCGAGGACCGAAGGGCGGCGGATTTTCGTGACGAGCCGCGGTTGTACGCCAACGCGGGAGCCGGCAACGGAAACCGCTAGATCCGAGTGGACCGCTGGAACCTCTCCTTCGGCGGCGAGGACGATGGCCAACGATGCGGCAAGCTGGGCGTGATTTCTCCGAAATGTCCCGATTGCGCGGAAACGGTCGGCTGGGTAGTCCAAAAGCGGGAGGGACTCGCCCAGGTTGGAATCCCGCGAAGTAGTTCCGAAGAAAGAAGAAGAAAAGAATGTACATAGTCCATCTGATAGTCAAAAGTATTTGTTAAGATACCTGGCGGAGGATGAGAGGCTTCGCCGTTATATGGAGGCACGGAACCGGATCTTTGCGGAGCATCAGCTGAGCGGCATGCGTCTGGTCTCACGGAGAGTCCAGAAGGCAAGGGAGTGCTTCAGGATGAGGAGATCCAGACGACGAGAGGTGGTGGCGGCCGTTAAACACATAGATTCCGCCGATCCTAGACCCTTCGCCAAAGGCTGTCGAGAGCTCGTGGAAACGCTAGAAGATACCGTCCAACCGTATTTTTCGGTAGTCCGGACAGCTTCTGGTGAGGATCGATCCATCATCGGACGCTTGGAGCTGCCTGGGAGGTACAAAGCCAGTCACGTTCTACCTGTGTCCATACCTGGACCAAACTGCGTACTTCGGGGTCGACTTCTGGCGACCTTCGGACTAGCTCCAGCCGACGTGGGGAAGCCGGCAACGAGAGGCGTCAAGGCAGCGCAGGTAATCCATGCCAGCCAGATGGAGCACTATGCCGACCAGGAAGATGAAGACGAGGTAAGGGAGGAACCCGAATCCTGGACCCTTTCTGCGGAGGAAAAGCTGGCGTTAGGCAAGGTCAAGGAGGAGTTCCTTACCTTTTAAAGGGACGGCCTCGGAGTCACCAGCATGAAGAGGCATTCTATTGAGCTGACGGAAGGAGCTCGTGTCTTTAAGGATCGTCCGTATTCGATGTCTCCGGTGAAGCAGAAGGTGGTCGAAGACGAAATCGACAAGATGTTGGAGCTGGGTGTTATCGAGGAGAGCAAAAGCCCGTGGAGCAATCGCACAACAGAGGTGTCGAAGCCAGGGAAAGACCGGTTCTGCGTGGATGCCCGAAGTTGAACGCCTCGACTATTAAGGATGCGTACCCTCTGCCCAGTATAGAAGGAATCCTCTCCAGGATAGATCAGACGCACTACATCTCCAGCGTAGACCTGAAGCTTGCGTTTTGGCAGATTGAACTGGATGAGAGAAGCAAGGAGTATACTGCGTTCACGGCCATTCGGGCTGTGCAACGCGGCACAACGCTTGGTGCGGCTCATGGATCGGGTGATACCAGCGGAGCTCAGATCTAACGCTCCAGATTTTCAGACGCACTTGAAATACTTGCGTCGAGTAGCCCACAGTCTGAAATCAGCCGGATTGACCATAGGGTTAAAGAAGTCGAAGTTTTGTTTCAAATCTTTGACTTAGCTAGGGTTATAGTCGGAGGTGGACTGCTGCGGATGGATCCTGGACGTGTTTCGGCAATCCAGAAGATGCCTTACCCGTGCCTTCCTCGGCACAGCGGGATGGTATCGACGGTTCGTCAAGAACTTCGCTACGCTAGCCGCAGCACTCTCCGAGTCCTTGAAGAAGGCTGGAAACACAAAGTTTTCCTTAAGTCCCAGCGCCACCCAGGCAGTGGATGACCTGAAGTTGGCCTTGACGAGCGCGCCGGTCCTGGTTCATGCGGATTTCAAGAAGCATTTCTACATCCAGTGCGACGCATCCCACGTTGGCGTCGGCGCGGTATTGTTTCAGCGGAACCAGAACGGAGACGAGCAGCCCATCGCGTTCTTCTCGGCCAAGATGAACAAACACCAGGTGAATTACTCGGTTACGGAAAAGGAGTGTCTGGCGGCCATCCTAGCCATTTGGAAGTTCAGACCGTATGTGGAAGGGATGCCCTTCACATGCATTACTGATCACGCCAGCCTTAAGTGGTTGATGACAATGAAGGATCTGTCCAGACGACTCGCAAGGTGGTCTCTCCAGCTGCAGGGCTACGATTTCAACATTGAACATCGCAAAGGCAGCGAGAACGTAGTCGCTGACACTCTATCCCGCATCATCGAGGAAGTCCGGATAGATCCAACGGAATCTGCGTCCCCAGTTCTATTGGCCAGGGATGACTATCCAGGTACGGGAATACGTCCGGGGTCGCGAGGTGTGCAAGGAATCCAAAGCGCCAAACTTCCGGATGCAGGTCGGAATCGGAAGAAGGGTAGAGACGGGGAGGCCATTCCAGAAACTGTACATCGATTTCCTGGGCAAGTATCCGACACGCCTGGATATTCATCGTGGTGGACCACTTCTCCAAGTACACCTTCTTAAAGGCGATGAAGGAGGCGACGCGTCGAACGTTGTAAATTTCCTGGTAAACGAGGTATTTTACAAGTTCGGGGTGCCTGAGACGATACATTCTGACAACGGCAAACAGTTCGTATCCAAGGCGTTTGAGGAGATGATCGATGGCTTCGGTATACAGCACATGAGGACTCCCGTATACTCACCACAGAGCAATGCCGCGGAAAGGGTAAACCGGAACGTCTTGGCCGCAATTCGCAGCTTCTTGGACGAAGATCATCCAAAACACTTTCCACTCAGCCACAGGAGATGCGCCGTTCTTCACCGTATTCGGCCATCACATGTTCCTCAACGGTTCCAGCTACAAACTAGCCAGACGACTCAGGTCTCTGGTCGACCATGAAATGGCCGGAATGCAGACCAAGGACAAGCTTCGGGTTATCCACGCCAAGGTGCAGAAGCAACTGGAGGGTGCATACCAGACAAGCCGGCAACGCTACGATAAGCGAGCCCGTACGCTGCTCGCCAAGCCAGGCCAAGAAGTCTTCCGCCGCAACTTTGTGCTGAGTGATTTCAACAAATCTTTTAACGCCAAGTCTGCTCGCAAGTTCATTAAAGCCAGGGTGGTTAAATCCGTCGGTAGCAATGCATACTTGGACCTCCAAGGCCGCAGTCTGGTTGTGACCTGAAAGGAGAAATTAAAGTATACGAGCATCGCGATCACATCTGCAATACTTCCCGTCATGCGTGGGCCCCGCGTTAGGCGCCGATCGAACTGCAGGATGGTATCAGTGCCGTGTTGAGTCCCATCGTATCTCCAAAGCTACCATTTATTTTCATCGTTCTGCTGAAACTCCAGGCAGCGACTCTCGAAATCTTTGGTTAATGTTGCAGTTGGAGTCGAATGGGAGCGACGTTATCGATAGGTTACGTCGATAGGGCGATAGCTGCAGCAGCGGGATGAGTCTGGCGGGCGATCTGGCCATTTGAAGATTAATCCCGGTTCGCTTTGGGATTACTTTAAATGGACCCATGTATCCAATGACCCAATTTTGAGAGAGGCCATGTAATATGGCGGGGGTATGAACGATGATCAGCAGATATCGAGATAGTCGCGGCCATACTGTCCAACAACCAAGGCAGATGCAGCTAGAAGTGATCCTATAAATTTTCTTTGTGCTTAAAATTAAATAGTGAGTTATGTTAAAGTTATACAGTAGTTCGGTATTTAATATTTATCATTTATAAAGGCAGCCGGGGTCCCAACACAAAGGGCCCCGGAATATTTATTTGGAGTTCTACTGACATTTGCGCGACTTCGCCATACCTACCAGCCCGACTTGGCTGCCCAGCAACCGGTGGCCGTTCGACCCGTACCGACGACCACCCAGAAAAGCAGTCTTCGCAGTCGACGCCGACGACATCAAACATTTCCCGGTGAGTCCGTTCCGGTGTACCGCGTCCACCTCATCTCGGGGACTTCCAGCCGTCGCATCGCGGCGTTGAGAGGTACCGCCATTTTGTCGGGCGGCCGAACCTCAGACTGCCCTTGCATAACTCACCGGAGAGCGCCAGTTTTCTTTCCTGGAGACCTGTATCGCTGCTGGCCTCCGGCTGGAAGTCATCAGCCCGGGCTATCATCGCCTCCAGGCCCGGCCCAACAGTGGCTGAAATTTAGGAAAATTTGAATACACGTGTACCTTGATTATATATATTGATATTTACTTCCCTGTTTGTGAATTTATCCGGAGTTAGACTCGAGAGCCTTATTTGTCCTCGTTGTTTGCCTAAAATTAAAAAGGTCGCGAGCATTAGTTACAGTGCAGTTACGTACCTTTTTGGCCTGTCCCTTCTTTTCCCCTTGAGCTCCTCAGAATTAGGTGACCATACACACGCGCATCGCGCATGTTCCTTTGAGGGCCGCGTTTCCATGCGAGCTCTACCAATACATGACTGGTAGAGCATAGTTTCCGCGGCGCCTGTACGCTTTTCCAGCCAAAACAAATCCTCTGCTTTGACCGCGTAAATATCCGAGACGGCGGCCAGGTTTAGGTCTTAAAGGCTGAGGAAGGATAGATCTGTTAAGAGGAGCATGTATATAAACAATTGTACTTACGATATTTATTAAACCTTTGTAATACCCACAATGTGTGAGTAAGCTTTCCCAGTGGGGAGATGGAACCGTCGTAGTCGCGAGGAGGGGCTCCTGCCGACAGAGAATGGGTGGTGCCCTGCAGCGCCTCGAGGGCACCCATGGTTGGGTGGGAGCGCTTGGCTAGGTCACCGATAGCCACCAAATGTAATCCATTTTCCCGTCAATATTTGTAGATTTTTGCTTTGATTACGTTTTTTTTCATTAGTGATAACCGATTAGTAATGTGAGACCGTGAAGTTATCGATATTTATGTTGCGAGCTGTGGCATTAGGGTACTCTGCCTTGAGAAAAGACTGAGCTAGCGGCACTGCCACCAAAAAAAAGCAGTTCGTAACATATTGGCGCCCAATTTAAACAAAATAAATTGTCGAGGCGACGACGTCTCGCCCATTTATGACCCTGACGCCGCCGCCATCACGACCTATGGCTTGCAACATAGATTGCAATTGCTAGGGAGTGGTGACGGGGAAGTCAGCTGTGTAGGGAAGTTGGAAGTAGAACGGGAGGCTGGTCGGCGACATTGCCGACGATTTGCTCCTGGCCACAGGTTTACCAGTGAACCGGTGATGGCATCTTGGAGCAAACCAAGATTTGCATCACGGGATGCACTGAAGAAAATCTGTGATAATTTCTGTGATAGAGTAGTAAGCTTGTATTTTGTGATTTATTTATTTGAAATGTTTTTTTGTTAGGATGTTGGGTCCTGGATTTCTAATTTTATGTCGGTTGTAAACTTAATTGCGTAATCGTGACCCGTTGCACGGTTGGCTCGATGTAAAATAGAAAAAGAGGGCGGGAAAGAAAAGCCAACAGGAGCCAAACCGAGCCGATGTCCTTAACTGGCGGCTATCACCACAGGTGATAGCTAGTCCAGTTGACGAACGGCTAGGCGGTGACGGAAAATAGGAGTTTTGGAGAAAGCGCAAGACGAGTTAGGTCGGAAGCCCACCGGCGACGGTCACTTCCATCTGCCCAGGTCCAGCTGTAAGGAAAAGAAAAGAAAATAGGAAGGGAGGAAGATTTGTTCATTGTTATTGATTTTGCTATTAGTTATTTTCGTATTTATTTTGATATTTATTATATTATTTATTTTTGTATTTATTTGTTGTCTTATTTATTTATTTATTTATCATATTTATTATAGTATTAGTAGTCATTAAGTATTTATTTAAAAATTCTTGGGAAGTATGTCCGAGGGTAAGGACGTCAGCGATAGGCACGGCCACCAGCTCAGGTCGATGGGTCCCCCTGGCGACGACAAGGACGATGTCTGGTCCACGGATGTAGAGGGTGCTGCTGGGTTGCCGCGGATATCGCTGTCTGGGGGTTTACCCAGAACGCCGGTAGCCGGTAGTGCGGTGGATCGGATTAGGATCAACCGGCGGATCTGGAGCACCATCGGTCGCCCAGGGTCCTGGATTTCAAGGCAATTGTCGAGGCGCAGGATCGACTTCTGGTTCCGGAGCAGACGGGACTACAAAAGCTGAACACGGAACACGGATACAGCGGCGGAGTCTGCGATGAACGCAGCTCTGGCACAAGCGGCCCATACATATCGGGCATCGCAAGAGTTGGGAGTGAGCCAGGCCTTGCGGGAGAAAATCAAGAACGGATTCATGGACATGATGAAATTGAAGAACGATGTTCTTAGGACAGCCGAAAGCAAACCGCAGCCGCTCCAGGAGGGCGCGATTCGCCAAGTGTCAATGGTGCCCACTCCGTCGCCGGTGGCCCGGAAGGCGGCGCAAATGGTCCAGCGGAAGTTCAGCAGCGGCAGGAGACTGGAGGAGGCTACCGAAGGCCGCCGGAATTGAAACCCAGGCAGCGACCTCGACCGCAGGTGAACGACTCTCCAGGGATCGACAGCAGCCTGAGCCAGGAACCGGAGTATCATCCGGCAGGAAGGAGTGATCGCCACGCACGGCCGTGGCGCATCGAGGACCGAAGGGCGGCGGATTTTCGTGACGAGCCGCGGTTGTACGCCAACGCGGGAGCCGGCAACGGAAACCGCTAGATCCGAGTGGACCGCTGGAACCTCTCCTTCGGCGGCGAGGACGATGGCCAACGATGCGGCAAGCTGGGCGTGATTTCTCCGAAATGTCCCGATTGCGCGGAAAACGGTCGGCTGGGTAGTCCAAAAGCGGGAGGGACTCGCCCAGGTTGGAATCCCGCGAAGTAGTTCCGAAGAAAGAAGAAGAAAAGAATGTACATAGTCCATCTGATAGTCAAAAGTATTTGTTAAGATACCTGGCGGAGGATGAGAGGCTTCGCCGTTATATGGAGGCACGGAACCGGATCTTTGCGGAGCATCAGCTGAGCGGCATGCGTCTGGTCTCACGGAGAGTCCAGAAGGCAAGGGAGTGCTTCAGGATGAGGAGATCCAGACGACGAGAGGTGGTGGCGGCCGTTAAACACATAGATTCCGCCGATCCTAGACCCTTCGCCAAAGGCTGTCGAGAGCTCGTGGAAACGCTAGAAGATACCGTCCAACCGTATTTTTCGGTAGTCCGGACAGCTTCTGGTGAGGATCGATCCATCATCGGACGCTTGGAGCTGCCTGGGAGGTACAAAGCCAGTCACGTTCTACCTGTGTCCATACCTGGACCAAACTGCGTACTTCGGGGTCGACTTCTGGCGACCTTCGGACTAGCTCCAGCCGACGTGGGGAAGCCGGCAACGAGAGGCGTCAAGGCAGCGCAGGTAATCCATGCCAGCCAGATGGAGCACTATGCCGACCAGGAAGATGAAGACGAGGTAAGGGAGGAACCCGAATCCTGGACCCTTTCTGCGGAGGAAAAGCTGGCGTTAGGCAAGGTCAAGGAGGAGTTCCTTACCTTTTAAAGGACGGCCTCGGAGTCACCAGCATGAAGAGGCATTCTATTGAGCTGACGGAAGGAGCTCGTGTCTTTAAGGATCGTCCGTATTCGATGTCTCCGGTGAAGCAGAAGGTGGTCGAAGACGAAATCGACAAGATGTTGGAGCTGGGTGTTATCGAGGAGAGCAAAAGCCCGTGGAGCAATCGCACAACAGAGGTGTCGAAGCCAGGGAAAGACCGGTTCTGCGTGGATGCCCGAAGTTGAACGCCTCGACTATTAAGGATGCGTGCCCTCTGCCCAGTATAGAAGGAATCCTCTCCAGGATAGATCAGACGCACTACACCTGAAGCTTGCGTTTTGGCAGATTGAACTGGATGAGAGAAGCAAGGAGTATACTGCGTTCACGGCCATTCGGGCTGTGCAACGCGGCACAACGCTTGGTGCGGCTCATGGATCGGGTGATACCAGCGGAGCTCAGATCCAGATTTTTAACGCTCCAGATTTTCAGACGCACTTGAAATACTTGCGTCGAGTAGCCCACAGTCTGAAATCAGCCGGATTGACCATAGGGTTAAAGAAGTCGAAGTTTTGTTTCAAATCTTTGACTTAGCTAGGGTTTATAGTCGGAGGTGGACTGCTGCGGATGGATCCTGGACGTGTTTCGGCAATCCAGAAGATGCCTTACCCGTGCCTTCCTCGGCACAGCGGGATGGTATCGACGGTTCGTCAAGAACTTCGCTACGCTAGCCGCAGCACTCTCCGAGTCCTTGAAGAAGGCTGGAAACACAAAGTTTTCCTTAAGTCCCAGCGCCACCCAGGCAGTGGATGACCTGAAGTTGGCCTTGACGAGCGCGCCGGTCCTGGTTCATGCGGATTTCAAGAAGCATTTCTACATCCAGTGCGACGCATCCCACGTTGGCGTCGGCGCGGTATTGTTTCAGCGGAACCAGAACGGAGACGAGCAGCCCATCGCGTTCTTCTCGGCCAAGATGAACAAACACCAGGTGAATTGCTCGGTTACGGAAAAGGAGTGTCTGGCGGCCATCCTAGCCATTTGGAAGTTCAGACCGTATGTGGAAGGGATGCCCTTCACATGCATTACTGATCACGCCAGCCTTAAGTGGTTGATGACAATGAAGGATCTGTCCAGACGACTCGCAAGGTGGTCTCTCCAGCTGCAGGGCTACGATTTCAACATTGAACATCGCAAAGGCAGCGAGAACGTAGTCGCTGACACTCTATCCCGCATCATCGAGGAAGTCCGGATAGATCCAACGGAATCTGCGTCCCCAGTTCTATTGGCCAGGGATGACTATCCAGGTACGGGAATACGTCCGGGGTCGCGAGGTGTGCAAGGAATCCAAAGCGCCAAACTTCCGGATGCAGGTCGGAATCGGAAGAAGGGTAGAGACGGGGAGGCCATTCCAGAAACTGTACATCGATTTCCTGGGCAAGTATCCGACACGCCTGGATATTCATCGTGGTGGACCACTTCTCCAAGTACACCTTCTTAAAGGCGATGAAGGAGGCGACGGCGTCGAACGTTGTAAATTTCCTGGTAAACGAGGTATTTTACAAGTTCGGGGTGCCTGAGACGATACATTCTGACAACGGCAAACAGTTCGTATCCAAGGCGTTTGAGGAGATGATCGATGGCTTCGGTATACAGCACATGAGGACTCCCGTATACTCACCACAGAGCAATGTCGCGGAAAGGGTAAACCGGAACGTCTTGGCCGCAATTCGCAGCTTCTTGGACGAAGATCATCCAAAACACTTTCCACTCAGCCACAGGAGATGCGCCGTTCTTCACCGTATTCGGCCATCACATGTTCCTCAACGGTTCCAGCTACAAACTAGCCAGACGACTCAGGTCTCTGGTCGACCATGAAATGACCGGAATGCAGACCAAGGACAAGCTTCGGGTTATCCACGCCAAGGTGCAGAAGCAACTGGAGGGTGCATACCAGACAAGCCGGCAACGCTACGATAAGCGAGCCCGTACGCTGCTCGCCAAGCCAGGCCAAGAAGTCTTCCGCCGCAACTTTGTGCTGAGTGATTTCAACAAATCTTTTAACGCCAAGTCTGCTCGCAAGTTCATTAAAGCCAGGGTGGTTAAATCCGTCGGTAGCAATGCATACTTGGACCTCCAAGGCCGCAGTCTGGTTGTGACCTGAAAGGAGAAATTAAAGTATACGAGCA